CTTCTTATTTTTTTTTAACTTACGATAAAAGGAAAAAAAGAAACGTTAAAGTCAATAATCTTTCTTGAAAAAAGTCTTTATGCTTGAATCAATTTGAGATCACTTCTTCTAGATCTTTGATACCATAAATCAGGAAATATCCGAAAAACAAAAAGTGCTGATATCTGGATGTACGTTGTGGTTTTCATAATGTTTGTATTGTTTCTGTATTTTGTAAGTTAGATTGTCGGCAAATTTATGACAGTATTTGTCATATTTCTTCTTTAGTATAAGGGGCCTCGGTGGCCGAGTGGTCTAAGTAGTAACTACTGTAATCACTAGCCAGTCAATACTGAGGTTGTGAGTTCGAACCCCGCTCGTGCGGGTGCACTCGACTCCAATCTTAATTGACTAGGATTGTCAGTTTTCCTATCGAAGGTCGGTGGTTTTCTCCGGGCACTCCGTCTTCCTCCACCAATAAAAACAGGCCGCCACGAAATAGTCCAAAAGCGGTGCTTAAAAGTGGCGTTAAAATACCAAAAAATCAAATCAAATCTTTAGTATAATTTAAAATTTGGAAATATTCTACCCATCAGCTGTGTTTTTGAATGCCCATATTTAGCGTGATCGATAACTAGGCAAAGAATTCCGATGAAACCGATGCTAGGTCTCCGTCTTGAAATTGTCGTGGGGTTTGAGTTTTGTCTCATTGTTGAACCTACTGTAGCTTTGATAAAGAATGATAAAAAACAACAAGACGAAATGCCGTTCTTTTGCTTTAGGATTTTTTTTTCATGTCATCGTAATGAATTGATACAACAATATCCTTTCTTTCCTTTCCAGAGAATGACTAATCAAGACTTTGTACCTGACATAATAGCTCGAAAATAAAAACCACAAACAGCTGATAATATTATTTTTTATATCATAAAAATATTTTGTTAGTGATAATTTAAATAAACAAATACATATTAAACAAATGCATATAAAATCTATATTGCAACGTATAATTGAACTGTTACACCTTGTTAATACATGTATTCTCATATTTATGGCGCGAAGTCTATAATGAATCAAATCGAGATGTACTGTTTATGTACGTCTTACTTCATAGACGTGGCAGTATTACTATATTCTGACAACATTGTCGAAACGCAGTACCTGCACATGAATTGGAAGCAGGACATTTTAGCGGAAACAATTCAAAACAACATATTAGTACCGAAGTTATTGTGCACTGCGCTAATTCGCCAACCTGTATTTTGAAAAGTCCATTTTAGCGAAAACATACCGAGTTTATCGTTTAAATATTTCAAAGAATGATTATATGCTTAGTCATACCATGTGTGCTACAAGAGAAGCAAATACCAAAAAATGCAACAAACAATACAGACAGTGAACATAGTTTAAACCTATCAAACGAAGTTTTAATTGTATATAACAAAGCAAGGTATTTTTTTCAATACGGTTCGGCTCGACATGGTACTAAAAGCCTTAAAAATCCAATACGATAAGAAAAGCAAACAGTTCTTACTGCACTGAATACTTTAATCAATATCTTAAAGGGAGTATATATTATGTTCCTGAAACTTAGCGAGAACAACGATATGTGTCGGTTCTTTGTGACAATTAAGTCATTATTATGTCAAATTTCATTTGACTCGGCGGCTGCATATTAAGCTGGAATAAGAAAAATGTCCAACGACGTTTTTCGTTGACTCAACGACTGAAAGTGTATTTTATAGGTAGATATAGCAGAAAATGTCTAAAAATGGTAAGATATTAATAACATCTACCAATAGTACAAATATTTGCCTCATTGTTCGTGAGTTCAAATATTGTAGATTCTATAAAATCTTCTCTTTACAGTCGTTTTTCAAGCGGTAGTCATTATGTCCAAGTTGATATTTCATTTGTCAAAGCAATTAATGCGGGTTTTTTACCTGATATTTCAATAAGTTATTTATAATTTATAAAAACAAAAGTTAGATACACGAAGAGTACACAATGGCTTAATTTGTTTTTTTTATTAAATACATGCTTGGGTCTGAAAGGAATAAAATGCTACGAAACATTACAAAACGGTAGTCATTTTGTCCAAACGGGTGAAAACGTCGAAAAATCCGAAAAACGCTTATTTCCGACGTTGCATGTGCTAAATTTGTTTCAATTAAATGTTCCTGATAATAAAAACAAATCGTGTGGTGAAATTTGGGAAAAGATATTGAAGGCTGTCGAAAAAAGAATAGTGCATATTGACAAACTCGGAACATAGATTCGACACAGATTAAATTTTGATATTTTATAACCATTTTTAGCTTTTAGTGATATATTGTTGCTAGAGGCAAATGTTTGATTCAGAATGCGAATGATATGTACAACTTTTGCAAAGACAATTTGGAGACACCAAGACAGTCCTCTATATGTTAAAGGTGAATTTTTCGTTATGTTGCGGAAGTACCCTGAAATAGATATAGATCATTTAAAGTCGCCCCTTCAGTAAGGTACATTCACCAAATTAAAAGTACTCGAAGAGTTTTAGTTCGCGACTTGTCCTGCTACTCATGTTATAACTGTCGTACTGAAACTAATGTACTAGCGAAGCCAGACCTTTTCTTCAGAATAAACTTGTGAATGAAACGGAGGTAACTGAAAGACTACTTGCAAACATCGACGAAAACAGTTTCATTGAAATAATACAACCCGGGATTGTATTACCCGTTTTTACGAACGATCCAGGAGAAGATTTCTAAAATTTAAAAAGTACATCAGACGTTAGAAAACTTAAGCAAGAAACTATAGATGACTGGGGAAATAATTTTGAAGCTGGGGTTCAAATAATTGAAGGGCTGTATTTCGACAAATTGTGTGTCAAGGAAAGTACAATTCATAATCAAGGGTAAAAAAAAAAATGATTTACTTGCAGAGTGTCGGATATATTTGTATTGGGGTTGAATCAAGATATGGAAAATTTACAATGACATATGATATGCACCATAAAATTTTAGCAGCCTGTGATTAAAGTTTTGTGCTTCTAAAATTATGTTTTAATTTATTTATGGAAAACTGTATATTTAATAATTCCGTCCCATTTTGCCTTCCTACATTATTTACGACAATACAGCATTTTAAGGGGAATTAAGGGTAAACATTGTTAATCGATTTCTATAATTTGAGGTAATTCATGGTAAAAATACATCACAAAAATAACAGAGACAGAATCAACCCATAACATATAAAAAAAACGAATGAAACTAACAAATTTAATTAATCGACGTCAAAATTTCAGAAAACACACTTTGACGTCCCATTTTTGGTGTAACGTCGTGTTGTAGGAACATCGTGCACAACGTTATTTCTAATGCAATTAGTTTGTATCAGTGGTTCTGATTGGATGTCAGTAAGCGTACAATTCTCTATCTACTTGTCTGTAACTAAGGAAGCCGACATTTTGAATTGCGGAATGTATTGACATGCAATTTTTACAATGATAAGCAAAAAAACTCACATGTTGCACCTAGAAATCTTCTTTTTATCAAATTTAATTACATTCTGAATCGGCCAAGAAGCCAGAAAACGCCCGGTGTTTACGTTTGACGGCGGAAGCATACCTATGACGTCACCTAGTTTAGGGGCCAAAGAAGATAACATCTTTTCGCGGAATTTTCTTTAATGAGAATTTTACACTGAGATAATGATTGAAATTGAATTATGTACTAAGTACTTGTTTTGCATTAGAATAGAGATAACTGTATTGTATTTGAAGCTTTGCGGACGTCCATCGGTAGTTTTACTGTCGCAAATACCCGTTTACCTGTCTCCGCTACGCGTCGCCAGGTAAACTAAATTTGCGACAGTAAAACTACCGATGGACGTCCGCAAAGCTTCAAATGCAATACAGTTATCTCTTAAGTAGATCCCACCATCACTGGAATATAACAGTTTTGTAATTATTGAGGTTTCTTAAATTACATCATTGGTTTTATTAAGCAAAGTTTTCAGACGTTTTTTGTGTTTGAATGTAATCAATTTATTTTCAAATACGTGAAATAGCCAATAATTATCAAAAAATAAACGGGAAAACCCGTTATTATTACAAAAATTTCCACAATAATATACAAAATATAAAAAAAAAAACCCGGAAAACTAGAGAATAGGGACAAAAAATAAAACAGGGATTCGAACCTAAACCGAAAAGTCTCTACTTCTCACTTGACTCTATAACATATTGATCTATACTATACGACTGTCTATTATGTATATATAAAGGTACAAGCCCTGTGTGTCCGTTCAAACGATGTGTATCATATGTTCATTTATATATATAACGCTCGTACTTAATCATGAAGAAAGGAATTATCATTCTGTGACCACGGTGAATGAACAGGCTGAAGTCACGGCAATGGTTGAATATTGTGACGTTTTAGTATTAAAATTTGTCATTCTACTATTTTATATTATAGATGGGTAACAGAAATTCATAATTTTAGAGCCTCTAGACGATTTCAGAGCTTGACATATTGCAAAGACACCTACTATGTGATGAATACTGTATACTGCCCTCTTGTTGCCTTTTGTTTATTTTTTGTCACTGGGTCGCTTTTCTTCCTTAAATTATACACCACATCGTCTTTTATTTACATAAAAGTATAGTCTTCTTAATCTGACCCGTTTCTTTTCTTGGTTATTTTTTCCCAAAGTAAGCTAGTTTTCTGTTGATTAGGTATTAACTGATTTTATATTTCTATTTCTTTATTCAGTGCATCCCATCATGTATTTTTTATCTGTCACATCTAAGGCAAGCGCATGTTTATATACTTAATAAAGCCATAAAAGCTTTGGATTAATAAATGAAAAAACCATGTCATTTCTTTTGGTAGGCATTGGCGGACTAATATTTGAAGTGAAATCAATCTCAGTTATCGAGTTATCGGAAGAAATTAAACGCCATCGGAATATGCAGATATTCCTTCAACAATTTGTCTACATATGAATCACTACTTTAAAAAAATAACTGTACAAAAATTGAAACGCCTATAATCTGAATAACATGTACCATAAATCCTTCATCATTTTCATGTGCAATATTTGTTACACTGCTAGGTTTAAAGATAACTAAATGCAGGTGTAATCAAAGATGATGGTTTCTGGTTCTATCCCAGAAGTATGCTGGAATCACGAAAACTATCATAACAACTAATGCAATAAATAAAATTAACGGAAATACCATGGAGTTACTAAAACAAGCCCTTCGCAATGCAGACTGAAATGCTTCCGACTGAAGAGACAATGTCACATTATTCTTTAACAAGCTACATGATTCCGAAAGTAAATGAGAATTATAATACAAAATACCAAATCCTGTGACCCCAGTGCACACATACAATTGGAAATATCTCACATTGCTCGGAATAGTATCGTGTGGTTGATGTTGGCTCGGTCCTGTATTAAGAATAACTTGTCTCAGAGTGTCAACTTGACCAACATTAATGGTTACTCCATCCGCTGTCTGAGAACGAACTTCTATCGAAGGATCAATTTTTAGCTGTTCGTTCGTAGGTTCTGAAACGTCTGGCTGAACTTTTGGATATTCGTTACTAGTCAGTCTGTGATCTGTCCCCTCATCTGCAAGGGGATTTGGAGTTTTGTCTAAAATCGGAAAGTCATTTTGAAAACTTTTATTCAGTTTTGATTTTTTCCCCTCTTTATTCCGTCTTTCCACTTCATTTTCAAGTGTGTATGACTCGGATTCAGGCGTATACACCTCTGCGTCTTTGTCAATATCTAAATTATCTGTCATGTTTATGGCTTTTACTTGGTCCAATTTATGATACGTTTGGAGCCCATTAAGACAACCAACGCTTTTATCTACTCGTAGCACGAATCTGTAAAGAATATAGAGAATTGTACTAAATCTATTGTTTTGATACCCAAGAAGGTTACACATTAAGAACAAGTTATACACACTTCATGTAAAACTAAAATTAAACCACAAACCAGAATTTTATCTATATAACACAACTTAAAAAAAACGGAATAGCACATCCTAAATTTTACGGTGATGTTGTTAACGGAGCCCGGAAATTTAGATACGATCTGGTTAAACTTATAAACTTATTCTAAAAGGTTACCTGTTCAACACTGTAATTAAAATTTTTGAATGTTGTTTTAATTGGTTTAAATATTACACATATGTACTTTCACGGTACTACAATCTGTCGATACCTATATTTTGGCATTGCACAAGGTCATGTTTTTCTCTGACTGTTAATGACGTCTTTTATCTAAATCCATTGGATGTTGGATGTGTACTGATTGATATCTTAGTCTTAGATGCATGATTTTTTTTAGTTGTTATTGGCTTTGAAGTAGCTGTCAGTAACTGCGAATACTCTCAGATCTGTACTTAGTGTCTTTTGTTGTTGTTGGGGATGGGGATGGATATGTACCCTGCCACATCCTGTCTGTGTTTTTGTTTGATGTTTTTCTTTGTATCGATCTGATGAGTTAAGCCTTTTTCAACTGATTTTTATAGTTTGTTCTTATGTTGTTCTATTACATCACTGTCCCAGGTTAGGGGAGGGTTGAACGCTCACAAACATGTTTAAACCGGCTAATTCTTTACTCATGATGATGTGCCTGTCCCAAGTCAGGGCCCTGTTGTTCTGTGGTTGTCGTTGGTTGACGTCTGTTATATATGTTTTTCGTAAATTGTTTTGTTTTAAATTAGGCCGTTAGTTTTCTCAATTGAATTGTTTCATATTTTTCATGTGGCCTTTTATAGCCAACTATACGGTATTGGTTTTTCTCATTGTTGAAGGCCGTACGGTTGACTATAATTGCTTACATTCACTTTATTTGACTGTGACTTTGGTGGATAGTTATCTCGTTGGAAATCATACCACATCTCCTTATTTTAATATATACTAGACCACACCCGCGACATCGCAGGTCCGTGACTGAATTAAAGTATCTTAATTATGTATAAGCCTTATTTTTAATCTGGATTTTTAGTATTGGTATTGACATATGATAAAGTCATGTTGATTATAAGAGGCACGGTTTTCTCTGCTTTCAAAATCTTTCTGTTTGAACCCGTTGACCTGGAACTTATCAATTATTTGTAATATAAATCATTTAGAAAACAAAAGGGTCTGGAGGGGTATTATTTGTAATCAACATCGTTTCGCGGCAGTACGTCGACTGAGCATGCGCGAAAGTGTATAAGACACTGATCGATAACAGTCTCCGAATTTGGATATTTTCTCAAAAATTGGCGTTTTTTCTGTGGAAAAAAGATTGTTTTAAAGACAAATTCAGGAAATACAAAACACTACATTTATACGTCATATCACAAATATTTCCGACTTTGTATGGTTTCAGAGAAGTTGCGGCTCAATGAAATCGGTCTCTTCCTTTAGTAGTATAGATATTTAAATATGAACAGTATAAACAGTATGAACAAGCAGATTCTCAGAATCTTGCTCTACACAAGTCATATGAATTACAAGCTTTTATGATGAAGCAAAAGCAAAAATAAGTATCTTAAATATTTAACTTAATCATCGAACTTGTTGACATATATTCTTTTGTCGATAAATATAGCAAACGTGCTTTTGTAATTCAATTAACCTGTAAAATCTTTATAAAATTTCTTATATCTATGACAATCCTTTACTGTACTGGATACTCAAATTGCATATAATTTACCTAATTCACAACGTCATATTGCTGTATTGGCCAAATACTCCACGAAATCTCTTTTTATATTGTTATTCTATTAGCCCGAGCTTGCATTTACGTGTGACGGCCTAATTTAGCACGTGCTTGTGTTGTGGAAGAATTCATTGATGCTTGATGTTTTTATTGACAACATATTTGTGACGATTAGAGGACGTGTATTTCAATAGAAAATCGGCACTCTTATTGGAACCACTATCTCCTCTTCTTGGCGATTTGTTGCTTTATACATGGGTCTGATTTCAGAAGCTTCTAAGCCGGGAAGATGAAATGAAGCTAGCATTATCATTTAACTTCACGTTCCGCTATAAAGATGATGTCCTTTCATTAAACAATTTACGAAGTTTGGTGACCACTCTAGACGCATATTCTCAATAAAACTTGAAATAAAGATACCAAAGGCAGAGTTATATTTGCTCCATATCTTGACTAACATCTAGAAATTTACAATCAGTGTCAATTGAGAACGTAACTTTACGACAAACGAATGATTTAGCTTTACATTTGCAAATTTTTCGTTTCTATGTAACAACATTTCAGCGTTCCCTGTATATGGAGTATATATCTCCCAGTTGATACGATGTTCCAGAGCTTACGTTTTCTTTAATCTTAAAGTAACTTGACGTGGTGTTGCTGCTAACAAGAAAGCTATTCAATTAAAGGTTTCTACTGATAGAGTTGGAGTTTTCATTTAAATCTATCAACTTTTATAATTTTGGTTATATAAGTATTAGTTTTTCAATATAAATTAAGACAACATACAGCAAATTAATGTCGGAAAATTTGAACAAATATGTAATATCCGATATCAGATATCCTAAGAAAAAATATTCATTTGTGCAACACTTATGCACAAAAATATGAACTAGATTAACCACTTCGTCAATTTTGTGCGTTGTATGCATTTTTTAACTAGACCTATCCTTGATATCATACTATTTAGTTTTGATCGTAGTTGTGTTTTGGTTAATATTATTATCGTTATATTAGAAATAAGTGCTTTTCCTGCACTTATTGTTATGTTCTTGTATGCATCTTTTGTAAGTCTTCTTATCGAGATTAAAAGTGGTAGGGTATATATCTGACAAAAAACCTCGTTAAGTTCCGCCACATATTCATTTTCTTGTCCCAATTCATGAACCTAATTATGAATAGGGATTGTATTTTGTTATTCATTAATGTCAGTTTTGTCAGTTTTGGAATTTTGTGTTGATGGCAAATCTTTGACAGTCTTTGTTATCACGTTTCATTTTATTGAAAAAAATACCAGTTATACTGGAGTGTTATCTATTGTATAATATTTTGAAAATAACTGAATATAACAAAAAGGATGTGTGCATGATCCTGTGCAAAAACACAAGCATCGAGAGGATGTAGGATCATTGCAAAAACACACGCATCGAGAGGATGTAGGATCATTGCAAAAACACAAGCATCGAGAGGATGTATGATCACAATTGTCCACAACTGTACATCAACACACATTTAATCATTACATTTCCAAATTAGTCAGTTATAACCAAATCAATGTCATCATCGATAAAGACAACATTTAATGTCAGTTTTGTCAGTTTTAAAATTTTGTGTTGATGGCAAATCTTTGACAGTCTTTGTTATCACATTTCCTTTTATTGAAAAAAAAAAAATACCAGTTATACTGGAGTGTTGTCTCTTGTATAATATTTTGAAAATAACTGAATATAACAAAAAGGATGTGTGCATGATCCTGTGCATTGCAAAAACACAAGCATCTAGAGGATGTAGGATCATTGCAAAAACACAAGCATCGAGAGGATGTATGGTCACAATTATCCACAACTGTACATCAACACACATTTAATCATTACATTTCCAAATTAGTCAGTTATAACCAAATCAATGTCATCATCGATAAAGACAACATTTAGTGTCAGTTTTGTCAGTTTTAAAATTTTGTGTTGATGGCAAATCTTTGACAATCTTTGTTATCACATTTCCTTTTATTGAAAAAAAAACCAGTTATACTGGAGTGTTGTCTATTGTATAATATTTTGAAAATAACTGAATATAACAAAAAGGATGTGTGCATGATCCTGTGCATTGCAAAAACACAAGCATCTAGAGGATGTAGGATCAAAATTGTCCACAACTGTACATCAACACACATTTAATCATTACATTTCCCAATTAGTCAGTTATAACCAAATCAATGTCATCATCGATAAAGACAACATTTAATGATCTTACTTTAGATTTAAACCGATAACCTTTACGAATAAATCTACTCAAAAGGATCAATAACTTCACTTGGATTGCATCGAAATTGTTAAGCTTTATATACATCAACGTGGGATACGATGATCCCGCCTGCAATGAAGTTTCCACAGGTAGACAAAAAGACATTTTTATAAGAATTCAGAAAATGTTTTAAGTAATTTGTGGCAACGTCCCTGACTTAATGATTTACAAGTTATTAATAGACCTTGTCCATTGAGATAAACAATATGTAACCACAAACATATGTTCAACAAGCGAGCCGGAAAATACAAACACCACAAGAACAGTGAACGAAAAAAAATCGCCTCTCCAGGCGTAAATTCCCGCAAAGAGCCTCCCGTGTGAATCTGAAGTATCAAAATCTAGGAAAGGACAATTTTTTTGTATAGTTTATATTTACTTAAAGTAAGTACCATTGGGCAAACCTATGCAGTTCAATTAGAGAATCCCTACCCTTCAAAGCCAATATATCACCAAGGTTAAGCGTTGTCAAATTTATCAATTAAATGGATCACAATGGGATCACCGCCGAATCAAGCCGGAAACTGTGAGTCAAAACACCACAGGAGCACGTCTGCTATCAAAAGGGTGCAATCAGTGCCAATAGAAATACTCACAACCAATCGACAAACTCTACTGCCGAAACGCACACAAATGTTGCAGATCCAACTACCCAACCACAGGTCCAGTAAGTATATCTAGAATACTAAACCCCACTCCCTGGAAGGTCCTTCGAGAGCCCCAGAAGAAAAGAAACCAGCAACCATATCCTTCAATACACCATCTAACCATGCGAACAAGAAAACTTCTGTGTGATAAGACGGCGCGGATGTGTAGTGCAGAGAATTGAATAGTCATAAATGTTAACCTATCAAAAGCACGTTACTCA